TCAGGTATTCCCATAACACATGTGTTGCTTTACATTTCTGCTTAGCTCTACAGAAGACAGTGAAACTGAAGTAATCATTAAAGGGGAGCAAGTGCTTAAATGACTTCCTCAAGTGGATCCCACGTCAAGAATAATACAAAGGCATATTTTAAACAGAAGCGTAAGGACACCGGGGTTATATTCCCAATTTTACCATGGTCTGCTATGTGGCATAGGGCAAACCACATAATCCCCTGCACGTGTAATCCATTTAGGATTTTAAATAGTTTAAATTGCCTGGAAATTCCCTTTGCAATTCCCTCCTTAAATCATGTGCAGCCAATCTGGGAAACAGCAGGAATGCAGAACAGGAACATGGAGCAAAGCCAAGGGATTTATCTGCATTCATTTCCAATGCTCAAATTACTGTTGGAAAGAGCTGAATGCCTTTGCAATCAAACAATATGTAATGTGTAGAGGCCATTCCCACTGGCCATCAGATGCCATGGCCCTTTCTGCTTTCATGGATCATCAGCTTTGTGATGTCCTTGTGGATTTACCACCCCACTCCTCCCCTTCCCAAATCTAGATAGAAAAAGACACTTGCATTTTCAGCTCTTGGGGGATGCTGATCACTCCCAGGACCTGACAGGCCATCTCTAGGATCAGGGAAGGTTCCAGCTCGCAGAGGACAACAGTAGTGGTTTTGGGGCTCTTCAAAATACTTGTTGCAGAAAAGCAGGGGATGAGCTGCTTAGAAGGGAAAGGAACCAATGACATGACTATCCAGACAGGGACGTGCGAGAGGAGATGTGCCAAAAAGTCCCACGAGGCAGGATCAATGTAATGAGCTTCATCAATGATAAAAATGAGGGTTGTTTCCTTTGCTGCCTGGAGAAGAAAAGAAGGGGATGACCATGTTAAGCCACACTTCAAGCTGAGAGAAGAAGAGGACAGAGAAAGACAGAGATGTGCCTCAGGTTTATTTATTAATTGCCATCATCTTCCACCTCAAATGAAATCTCTTCCCCTGCCCCAGTGGAACCCAAAAGTTCAAACTTAATGGGCTAATTCACCAGCTGTCAGTATAGCTCCACTGAAGTTGATGCTGAGGTCCATTTAAACCCCCTGAGAATCTGCTGCTTCATTGCTAAACCAGCCTTTACCTTGTGGGGACATGAATTCCCCACCAAAGATACAAAGACTCAAAATGGAAAATCTGGACAGTTCTGTATGGAACCATGGATGGGACTTTGAATGCACCCAGCTGACTGAGGAGCACATATCTCAGTGATCTTTTTTCTTAGAATGCGTGCTCCTAAATCACATAGGTACTTTTGAAAATCCCTCCCAAGTCGGGAGCAACCATCACTGAGCACCTCAGGTTCAGGGGATCTTGCGGAGTCCTTGAGGAAGGTGGCCTGGTGGATGGCTATTAGAATCCCTTAAAAGGTAGCTGATTGCTAACATTGCCTATAGCCTAGTTCAGGTTTCACTCTACCTGCCTCCTAGAAGTGTCAAGGCCACAGACAGATGGGGATAAACCTGCTGCAGGCCTAGCTGACAGTTGGCTCTTTAGTTTTATGCCGTAGAATTTTATGCTTTTAGATCCACAACCCCAGATTCAGTCCCAACTATAAAAAAAATCTAACACGGGGAACAGCATAACACTTTCAAGTCTAACATGTCCTTTGTGCCTAGTCTGAGGCATCTGTTCCTCCCATTTCCACAGTGATGGGGCTCACTCACCTTCTGCAGGACTTTGAGGAAAAGCTTTTCTACTTCTTGTTGCTTTGTCTCATTACTCATGTGAGCAGCCTCAGCTGACATGGGGAACTGGTCAGGAAGAGAAAGGGTATTTAGCAACAGCAGCTGCAAGCTTAAAAGTAATGCACACTAACATCAGTCTGACGAAGAAGAAATTTCTGGTGTAACATGACAAATTTGCCCTTTTCCTAGCTTTATTTTAAATAGTGCTTTCTGCTAGATAAATTCAAAGCCAGGGGAAAGACATAAACAGCACAGAGCAAAATGAAGAAATAAACAGAACTCTATTCTTGCAACCTGCTTATGCACACAGGATTATGTCCCAGACAGCAAATCGTTTCCCCATTACCTTCACAAGGAACTGATCATTCAGAAGGCAGTAGAGGTTCTCGTCCAGCAAGCCGCTGAGTTTGCTCTGAAGGACATCTTTTCTGTTGTAAGGTCTACAGGCTCTGATCCCAAAGAATATAGCCATAAGTGACCAGATGGCACTGAAAGACTCCTGGATATCTACTTTGGTTAGCTCTAGACATGTCACCCTGTGTGAAATAGGAAGGTAGCTGAGAAAAATCTTCCCTGCAATGAGAACATGCTAGGAAAGAGTATGCAATTATAGCTCCAGTTCTACCTTATTCTATAAATGAAAAACAAAAACAAAACCCTGATCTATTTGGAGATCTTTAATACAACAGGTCTGCTTCCATATCTGGTTTCTGCCCACATGTTAAACACTGAGGCTAACAAGTGAGCTTATGAACCATCTCCTGGTTATTAAACTAAGATGAATCAGGCTTATAGTTTCCGATGCCTCCTCGTGGCTGGTTACAGAAAACAGTACAAGGAAACAATGGATAAGACTTCAAGTCTGGTTTTATAAAGCTCCCTCTCAGCATCTTATGAAGCTACTTCAAAAAGGCCTGTTTCCAAAGCTGATTAGTCATTTCACTGATAGGCACATCATCTAGAACCACATTGAACAGGCGGCAGGGGGCATCTCTTAAGGATATGCACATAACACAGCATAGGATTTGATGATGATAGCAATTCATAAATTTTAAGGCCAAAATGGACTTAATTACTCTAACCTCCTAACCAGAGAAGCTCATCCAGTGACTTTTTTGTATCAAGCTTATAATTTTTGTTTGAGCTATTGCATGGCTTCCTGAAAAAACACTCAATCTTGATTTAAAATATGCCCCACTTCTTGTGGCTGGTTTTTGCCAACACAGAGGCAGGGAGCAGAAACAGCCACAGCAAATGGAAAGGAAATGAGTTAATGTAACTGTTGATACAGATGGTCACACAAAAGGATCTCTGTTGTGGCTGGGAGCTGACTAATCCTCCCTCACTGTAACTACAGGGACTAGGGAGGGATGTTATATCCAGAGCTGATACCTCAGTTGTGAACCAGTGAAGGTTTTCACATAACATTACATCTGGACATACATTCAAATGCTGAAAATTTGACCTTGCATTTCTGCTGAGAGCCACTACGTAGTTACACTGAATGGTTGTGATGGTTTTATAAAAAATTTGCACTGCAACCATCATTTATGATAGCCTTAACCATTGAAAGGACTGATCTGACTTTGTGACCGAGTGGTTGCAGTGAAGAGATTCTGATAAATATGAAAGCCACCCTAGTAAATACCTTCCCCTCAAAAACTAAAACAGTTGCACTTGTGGTTTACATATACCTCTGAGTTCCCGTCAATAAGACTCTGCATTAGGGTAAGGGATACACTAGGTGTAGCACACTTCAAACAAGGGATGAGGAGCCATTGCTGAAGTTGGCGATTGGAATAGAGGCAGTTGCTAAAATTAAGAGAACTAACCTGTGATTTTCCTTCTGGGCTAAGTAGCTTATTTCAGCAAGTAGTCGGCTTTTCCCATAGCCTGATGCTCCTTCATATACTATAACGTGGCCTTCTTTGCATCTCAGAAATAACTGCAGCATGGTCCAGAAAGTTGTGATCTCGGTCTCTCGACCTTCCAAAAGAAATGCATTTTATAAGTGGTAAATTGTTTCTTCCAGCCCAACAGGACTGGAAGCAGCTGTCTGAAATTCCCTTATGCATCAGCCGTCTAGGCATTGCTCAAGAGATACCAGAGGAAAATAAACACTCCTTTCATGCTTGGGGCCTAAGCAAATCCTCTCTCAGTTTTCCCAGATGCTCCTGGCTTAGAGATCTGAATTCTGGTTCTTTTTTTGGCAAGGCAATATAATGCTATGCCATCAGCCAGAGGTGAGAGCTTGTGACTCTCACATTATAGGCTGCCCTTGTATCACCACCTCTGTTTGAAGCAAGGCTGCTTTGCAAGCCACCTGTCTGCTAGCCAGCACCCCCCCACTGCAGACGGGGGAAGGCTGAACTGTGGACATCTGACAATGGGTGTTAGTGAAAATCAGAAATAAACTTTTGCTTTAAACACAAATGTATGGATATGACTTTTCCTGTTGCTAGTCCAGGGGCAGGCAATTATTTTGGGCAGAGGGCCGCTTACTGAGTTTTGGCAAGCCATCGAGGGCTGCACGACAGGCAGCCCAGGGCAGATAAATATTAATTTTCTAAATTTTTAAGGGCCCTGCGGGCTGGATAGAATGACCTGGTGGGCCACATTTTGCCCACTCCTGTGCTAGTCAGTAGAAACTCCCTTTCTTATTTACATCCTTTCCTCCTTCCTCACCTTGGGGAATATTTTGCATGCTATTAAAGCTGTGAGAACCTATTATTCACTTACCCAGTAAGGGTTGATTTGCATCTCTCTTCTTGGTAAAGCCCGACTTTGCAACCATTCTAAAAGGAGAGATGGCAGAAAAGGAAGAATTAACCTAGTCTGGATGATTTTACACTGGAAAATAAATGAAAACAGAAGATAGACTAACAAGAAGGGCTATAAGCCTCTTCTCTTCACCTCCAAGCAGGCAGAACAGCTTGATAGGCTCATGCGTTGGCAATCCATTCTTAATCTCAATGAAAATGCAGGAGAGCCAGAGAATACTTGAGACTGTGGCTTGGGTAAGACCTGTGCTTTTCAACATCTTCCTTAACAGGACCCTTTTCCATACTGGCATGGCTGCCATTTAGCTGGGATCAAACCAGGATGCATCTTTTTCCCTCCCACCCCCCTTGCCCCAAATGGCAAACGCAGGATGGTCACAACCTCCTGACACCTGTTTTCAAGCTTCCAGGGGTTAAAGAAAGTTTGCTCCTCTCCCTTGCTTTGTAGTGAAAGGAACCCACAGCAGCAGCTTACGGGTTTTTCTTTCTGCCAAGATATTCATACATGACTTCAGAGGTCACAGCATCATTCATCTCCTTGTCTGGAAGCTTTTTAAAGAAACGGCTGGGTAGCCCAGATTTTGAATAAGTCACTTCATCACAGGCTATCAGCCCCGGATACAGCACCAGCATCCTAGCAGCCATCTGTACCTTTGAGCCAACAACTGGCAAGAGAGCAGAGGGAAAGGCAGTGAGAGAGCTCACGAATCCCTATGCACGCACAGGTGACACAACAGAGCTCTATCGTACCTGTGTAGTCGTGTCTAGAAGGATGGCCAACCACTCCACAAAACACTTGTCCACTTGTAATCCCAATGGAAACCAGCCTGAAATACAGCCAGAGCAGTCCCATTGATTCTGTCTTGCCAAAACACCCAAAAGTAGCTGAATCTTCTTCCCTCTTTATGTGTTATTAGTGATCTAAGGCCACCACAGGACTTGCCACTATTTAGGGCTCTTATAAATAGGATTGCCTCCTTTATCAACTAACAAACACGCCGATGAGTTCAATCACTATTATCATGTGCTGATTTTGGAGCAGACGTGGTTTCAGGCCCCTGTCTGTTGGAGACCAAAGATGTTATGACACTGGAGAAATCTTTTCCCAGCAGTAATCCATTATTTGTCTTAAAAAACACCAAGAGAACATTCAGAGCTACAACAGCAAGGTTTGAAAAATCCCTAGGGATTTTAGTTAAGATGCAAATGTTCGTATATCATAGTGCAAGGCAATTTAGCAGGGGGTAGAAAAGTTTTCTTTCTGGAGCAGACTATTTCAGCATTGCAGGGTTTTTGCACAATCCTCTGAAGCAAATGGTGCTATTTGTGGATATAAACAAATGGACAGGCCATTCATAAGTCTGTTAATTCATATGTCCCTAATATATTTATTTTCAGATGCTGCCTCATTATTTTTATTCCAAGCATGAGTGATGTTGTCATTAGCCAAGACCTCCAGCAGCACTACACAGCTCCACTTAACTGAGTCCTATTTGCTCAGAAAACAGTCAGTGCCATTCACAATGGGAGGTTAAAACAAATGAACATTTTCCCTTAAAACTAAAGTCCCGGCAGTTGACATACAACAGCACCTTGGACAGAAGTTGAACTTGGAGAAAATAGACTAAATTAAATTAGCTTGAAAACAGACTTAAAGATAAAGCAGAAAGGGGACCCAGAGTTCCCGAATGTTGTACATCACCTTTCTCTCCTACCACAAATTTGTCCTCGAATATCCCCCAACCATCCTCATAGGAGATCCTGCATTTTTCTTTAGTATGATGTGATGTTTCTTGGGCAACCCACCAGAAAGAAAATGTCATTAACCACTCAGATAGCTAGTCTCCCCAGAATATAACAACCGATTACTGCTGGGTTACTAACAGGGTTCCTCCACTAACTCAAATGACAGACATTTGTCCTGTAGTGCTGACAGTGATCAGCTGAAACCCTACTAATGAGCCACGCACTTACTCAAGTTTCATGTGATTTTCAGAGAAGAAATCAGAGATTCTCATTGCAGTATCTAAGACCCGAGTACTCTCATCCATCCTTTTATCACCTGGCAGTCCAAAAACACACAGAAATGTGCAGCACTGCTTTGGAGAACAGAGACGAGGTTTCCATTAGCATATGAGCAGTAGGTTAACAGGATATGCTAAAAAAAAATTAAACCAGTTGTGCCTTGCACTAGTACAAGTATCAGGGTCTCTCTCAAATTCTAATTAATTTGCATTCTAATGAGCTATTAAAATGGTGCATTGGGCATATGCTCACAAAGTCAGAAACCAATGGAAATGAGAAAATGGATGGTCTGGCGATTAAATAGGCTGGGCCAAGACTCAGGAGATCTGGATTCAAATCCCAACCCTGCAAGATCTCCTGTATGACCTTGGGCAAGTTATTGCATCTCTCTCTGGTCCTCAGCTGCCCATTTATTTAAAAACAAAAATGGGGATGGATATGGGGATGATAGATATTTCTTCCCTTTTGTAATTTAACTGGTTATTCCTTGGACTAGGACAGCATCTTACTGTCTGTATGCCTGACACCTAGCACAAATGATTCCCAAATCTAACTTGATGCTCCTACCTGCTTTTATGTGACAAGTGAACAATAAGAAGTACTGCCTCAAAGTACCACGTATCTATCTCCCTTTGCTTCACAAACCTCAAGTGTTTCTTACTCTCAAACAGATACTACTGTGAGAATTTCCCAGGCTGCTGGGTACCTGGACAGGCCTCTCCTTGCCAGATTTGCAGCATGTCTCTCCGTAGCTCCCAGCGAGATCTTTAGTACTACCAGTTTGTACTGCCTACAGCTGGGGAGCTTCATTGTACTCACTTTGCCAAATGTGGAGATTTTGAGAATTTTGCCTCTCAAGCTCTCTATGGTACCAGAAATGTGCACAGTGGCCTCCTGGATTGATCTGCACAACCCTGGCATTTTTATGCTCTCGTAAAATTGCAGTTTGACAAAGACAACGGTTAATGGCCGAAGCTCAGAGAAAAACTTCAGTGGCTGATTATCATCAATCTGGAAGACAGAGAAGTTCAGGGAAGCAACTAAACCGTTCCACGTGCCTGGGATTTTAACTCTGCCTCACTGTTTGTGGTGGGACTTAGGTCTCTATCTGAAAAAGTATGTCTTACCTTTTCCAGAATATTTCCCACCACAAACCTCCGTAAGGCCTTTTCATGCTCACAACTGGGAGACAGTATCGAGGCATTTCTCATCAGGACTAGGAAAGGAAATAATGCTTCATATTATTGTTTTTTCCTCTTGATAAATAAAAGACATCTTGCTTTTCTTCCAGGGACCTTGTGTTCTTGCTAGCTCAGAAGCTGGATATGGAAAGCTCACCTCCACTGCATGAAAATTTGCGTAGACTGCTGATCCACTTTTCATAGTAAGAATAATCTTGATGCAGGTTCTTCACATACCTCAACTGAGAAAAATGAAATTGTAGGCAAAGTGTAATTTCCAATCCACCCAAAAGGCTTCTCAATAACACAGGCATGAACAGAAGCTAGAATCCTCTATATATCATCCTTCACTATGGCTGTCTCATATATATTGATGCCCAGTTTCACTCAACTATTCCCACACATGCCAAACTTCCTTGCTATACTCAACCCAGTAGAACACATGTATTGTCCAAAGTACTGAAAGCCTCCCACTCCCATTGATTTCAATGGGATCTTTGGGTGCTCAGCTCTTCCAAAAGTCAGACCAAAGGATTTTAGAATGATCTGACCCATTGACCATCCATCAGGAAAGCATAGCTAGCCAACAAAATAAACATATCACTACTCAGAAGCGCTATTGTTGCCACCTCTGGATTTCCTGCAGAGAGAAGACATCCTGGAGCAATTTAAGGCTGTGTACGTTGCACAAGGCAAGGGAACTTAAAATTTCCAAATGCACAGGTCCTCACCCAGCAAGATATAGAAACAGTTGCAACTAGCTAACCTTGAAAAGGAAACCCCTGTGTACACAAGCCAGTCCGATATTTTTTGATTCAAAGCTTCCTGAAGTTAATGAGCGTTTTTCTCTATTCATTTCAATGGGCTTGGAAGGAGGACCACATGATGCTCCTCACTTTTAAAGGTCATGGATAGAAGCATTAAGGGAGCTCCCCTACCTTCACAGCCCTTTGGCCTGGGATCTTTTTTGCTTCTAAAATATCCTGTTTACACAGCTCCCAGCAGTTTGGTGAGAGAATCACCTCCCCAGTCTCTGCTAGGCTTTGCGCAAGCCATGCATCGTCCACCTGCTGGCCAGTCACCAGCAAATACTGACACTTCTCATCCCCAACAATTAGCTGAGAAATGTGACCTGCAGACAGCCCTGAAGAGAAGAGAAATGGGTTAGATGTATGCTTCTTTGGGACCCAGATGGCTAGTATGTATTTCTGGCATCCGGTATAGGTACCAATCTTCAGCTGGAGCTCCAAGCCCACTCTGCTGCAGCTGTATTCAAACCACCACTGCATACTCAAACTGTATTCCGCTACTAGCGTGATGATGTTACTCAGCTGGCTTCGGCTTCCTTTCCAGAGCACCAGTAACACATCCCCTGCAGGAGACACAGCAGAGTACAATGGTAGATTGAGACCAATCTTGCTCTTCTCACTTGTCTTAGGTTCCAGATAACACCAGCTGGAAATATCCCACTGAAGTCAATGGGAGCTTTGCCAAAAATCTGGCTATAAATAATAGCTACCGATGCTCTTTCAAAGGCATAGTTCAAAGCAATGAATACCTGTAAAGTTCAAGATGTCACCTCCATAAAGAAGCACACCTGAGAAAGAGAGAAAACAAATGAGAAGAGAATAATGCCTCCTTCACACAGCTGCTTTCATCCAAAGAGCTTTGCAAAATGTAGGCGGACACAATGACTTCAGCATCACTGCGATAGAACAATTTTATAACGCACGGTAAGACTGCATAACAGTGGGGGGGCATAAAAGGAAGAACCTCATTTCCAGGAAGACCCAGTGGGGAAAACCTTGAAAATTTAAACTTTGGTAGTACTAAGACTCCCTGGTCCATATCAGAAACTTCAGGATAGTTAGAACTATCGTAACAGGGAGTTGAGTGAATACTTTATCCTAAAGAGGGATCAGGGGGCAGAATTCCCACCTGGAGAACCAGCCTTACAAGAAGGACCAGGATTCCTGAAAAGAACATCAGTTTGGCAAACCCAGGTTGGGTCTCCATTTCTTATACTAAGGTAGCCCTAAGCAGTTAATTTCTTGTTCCATCTAAACCTAGGATTGTACTTACTCTGCAAGAGATGTCTTATGAAATTATTGAATGCATCACTGCATCGTAGCCATTGTGTTCCACTAATCCTCCACAGCTTTTCATGGAGAGCAGTGAATCCTACAGCAAACCGAAACAGAAAGCCAAATTTTCAAAGAGAATGCGCCTTGATTGTTGTTCCAAAAAGATACTAAGCAGATGCCCATAAAATGATAAAGGCCAAGGCAGGTCTCAGATACTGCAGTAAAACACTTCCCATTACAAATTCAAACAGAGGGGATTTATGGTGAATTTGGTATGTATGGGAGGAGACGCTGACAGTGCTTTGTAAAGATCTGCATACATCTCGCTTCTAGTTTGCAATGCTACTGCTGTTCCAAGCTGTGGCATTCTTATGAGCTCTATTGTTATTCTTATCCTCGTGACGGCACTGTGGGAGGATTAACACCCACCAACTCCTAGACTGAAAGCACCAGTCCCCTCTCCAATCATGATGTTAAACCAATTTGCACCTTCCTGTTTAATTAGAGCAAAACCCTCTCGGTATGCTGTGGGATTTAGAAGAAATGCATTGAAAACTCAGGAGACCCTTTACAGTAAGTTTTACAAGGCCAGCAACAGTTTTGCGTATAGGACGTACAAGGGGATGTGGCCACAGAGCTTGAAGCTCACTCATGTACCTGGCAGAGGATGATAACCAAAGGGAAATCTTTTCAGTGACAAACGTGCATAGGAACCTGCATAAATAAGATTCAAGGACAGAGCTAAGTTTACTGAGAACAAGGCTGAGAAGTGAGAACACAAGGCAGAATGCCCTTTGGGCTGCTGACAAACCGAGGTGCTAATGGGTGCCCCTCTCCAGAAAGTACAGGCAAAGCTTTGGTACAGGCTCTCCCAGTTCCCTTACCTGTAATCTCTGCACAAAGCAAGACCCCACTGAAGGTCTCTATGGAGGGCAGTGTCCGTTGAACAGAGCAATGATCATTATACACCAGCAGGTCCGGGAGAAAAGCTGCCAACTGCACTAGCCTGGATGGGAAATTCACCCCAGCTGCTTCCCTCCCATTGTGAGGGGACTTGCCAAGAGCCTTCATCTCCTCCACATCCAGAGGAGTCTCGTGTGCAAGTGCCGCTCCCTTTATCTGCCTTGGGACCCTAGATATCGACTCGCTTTTCCCTCGCTGCAGAGGTTCAACTGATGCCACTTCCTTCCTCTGAGGGCACCAGACAAGGTGTCCCATATCCTTCTCTTCCCACTGAGAGGACTTGCTTGGCGCTGCTACCCATTGACCCCCCTGCAGGGAGCAGCTCGAGCTCTCCACATCACCTGGTCCCCTCTGTGGAGGGGCACCTGCTGCCTCCGCGGTTTGAAGGGGCTCATCAGATGCTGCTACCATCTTCCCTTCCATCTGGTCAGAGTCATTCGGGATGCTCATACTTGACCTCAAGGTAGACTCCCCCACTGGTACCATCTCCCTAGCCACACATGGCGGAAATGCCATCATGTTCTTCTGCCCCCAGTCAGAGCACTTCCTTGACCCCATCTCTCTCCAACAAGGGGACCCACCCAACATCCCTGTGTCCCCAACCCCTTCCTGCAGAAACTCATCCTGGGCACCCCACACACAGGCATCCCTCCTACGAACAGCCATCTTGATGCCAAAAGCAGCTCCAAGCAGAAGGCCAACACGAGAACTGATGGCAGCCCGTAAATCACCCCTCTTCAGCCAATCAGAACTCTCCGCCGGAGGGCCGAGCCTCTCAGCGCCTATCAGAATTCTGCATTGTAAAGCCGTGGCCCCTCCACAACCAATCAGAACTTCTTCTGGCCTGCGACCAGTTGGCAAACAGCGGTTGGAACCGTTTGAAATTCCTCTGCCAATGAACCCGCACACCAGCTGAGCCACTAAAAGTGGGGACAAGAAGAGGAGTCAGAATGGCATCTGCCGCATCCTGCAGGAATCCCATAGCGGATGCTTCCCCGGACAGACTGCCACGGGAACATTCAAATGGAGCCAAACAGGTGCAGCGTAACCGATGGCTTGAGGCCACGCTTCAGCAAGACCGTCTGCCAGTGAGTGCCGTGGCTTCATCAGAGCCCCAGCACAGTTTACTCTTCGTTAACAAGGCAGCTCATTTTACAGGAAAGCCGCTGCTGTGAACAAGTGCTGTTGGTAGCGTCCACCACCTCCTCTGCTTAGCCCAAAAGGCAGCAAAAAAATTATAGACAGGAGCTCAGAGTTTATAAATTTATTAGCTGGATAGTGTACACAGTACTTACAATTGCATCTATTAAAGACCAAATACACTTGAAAAAATGCATCATATAAAAAAAATTATAAACTTTTAAACTATGTACAAACTTTGCTTTACGTTACACAAATCCCGATCCACCCCACCCCGCCCCTTCACAAAGTAAGAAACTGCCTTTTTTTTTCTTTTTAAACATGCAAAGCATTGAAATCATTTAGCATCACTCAAGGGTCTTTCCCACACCCCCTTCTACATTTATATGAAACTGGCTTTTGATAGGTTCATTGCTCCAGTCCTTTATGGGTCACACCATCAAGAGTTAGTTTTCCTCGGAGCTGTCGTCACTTCTGTTCTCCTCGTCTGTCCCGTCGTGCACTCCCAAACTAAACTGGAGTTTTTCTGCAAATCGAGGCTCAAACACAAGGTAGGAGTCTCACGCAATCTGGCAGCATTTCCAGTTTTAAAAATTTACTTGGTAAACTCGTATTTTTTGTGCCCAAAAGATCTCAAATTGGTACCAATGTCACTGATGAAACTCTAACTTTAGAATCTAATGTTGCTAAATACAAGAAACCCAAAATAAACTGAAAAGGTATGATAATGGCTCTAAGCCTTTCACACCACATTTGGGTGGAAGAGAGGGGAAATAACCACAAGAACTCCTTATATTTATATGCCCTTATACACATTCTAAAGCTACAGATTCAAGACCCTACATTTGGGCGGCGTGGGGAGAACTTACCCGGAAAAGAGTTCTAGATGTTTTACGAAGGTTTATAAATTTGTAAAGAAAACCAATAAATACTGGTTGGTAGTTACCCAGATACAAAAAGTGTCAGAGTGATAACCTCATTCCCCCGATTTCCCAGCTTTCACAGGAGGTTCTCAGGGATAGAGGTGACCTGTCAGCTTAAAGTAGAAACATTACTGAGAGGTTCCCTCAATCCAGAATGGACGTATTCCCCTTGTGCACATCAGTACCCCAGACTGACAAAATGTACAAAAGCTCTGAAAAATATATTTACAATAATGATGCAAGTAACCGTTCATTCAAACAAAGCCAAATAGCTAAACGTTCCTTCGCTAAGAGTTATGCATTTCCTGAAATAGGGGACACCAGATGCAATACTCAGCAAGGGCTTCAAATATGCCAACTGAAGAAAAACGCACCCATACTCCAATCCGCCAAAATATCTTAAGGCGTCAAACAAAGGCACCAAAGATGCCAACAATGTAAAGGGGCAAGAACAAACAATTTTAAGCAGAAATTCAAATCTTAGGAACAGAATATTTGCGTAGACTTAAAAGGTGATACCCCAATGCCTCCCTGTATTTACAAAAGCAGCTCCCAATCTGTTCAGGAAGCAAACCCACTCTTGCCACAAGCCTGTTTCCATGAATTTCCATGAGGCTTGTGACCCCACCAATAACTACAACTGCATGTGGGATTGCAACTCTTACATTGGGAACAATGGACGTAGCACATAATTAACAAAAGCTAAGCAAAAAACAAAGTGTTATCAACTACCAGAAGGAAAACACTTTAGTCAAGACTGAACAGGAACAACGTTCCTCTATAATTACAGAATCCAGCTGATGTGCCAAAGGCCAAAATCTCAATAGCAATTCTTTCTTTGTAGCTTAACTGTCTGGAGTTCAGATACCTCCCTATGCGGCTGGCCTGAACACTAGCGTTCTTGGTGCTGGAACCTGCTGGCGAACTAAAAAGTTTTAAAAAAAAGGAAAAAAAAAAAAAAATCAGTTGTCTCTCCCTTTTCACCATCCCATTTCTTGGTACTCTCAGGCTTAAGGTTCTTCTCTACTGTTCAGAGGAAAACGTTCTTTTGGTGGCTTTGACTACCCTCTCCTTCCCCTTCACTATTTCTCCCTTTGGCAGAATGAAACTTAACGGATCTCCCACTTCCACCCCCCAACAAACACTGGAGGGAACGATAAGAGAAAATGTGCTCCAAGCAATTGCAATGGTTCCGTCACCTTGAGATAAACTCCTCTGAAATTCAAATGACTTTTCCAGTCCCTTTCTTCACTACATCACCTACAAAAGCTTTCCCTCTCCTTGCTTTTATTTTCAGACTCGTGCATCACCCTTTCTCCAGCAGCAGACCTAGCTACCCTTTCGAGAGTCTAGCTAATTCTAGTGACCCTATTCGTTTTGTCTGTTCAGCTGTAGCAGGGCATGAGCCCTACAGACAAACAGCGGGTCCCATCGCATATGCCATGAAATGAGCAGAGGGCATAAACAGGCAGATAAATATCACCTCTTAGGCAGCTGTATGAACCCAAACATCTACTGGGAAATCTGAAATCTTCAGTGATGGCCCAAATTCAGCATTTGACAATTATGCCCTTATCTTTAACCTAATGGTTTACCACAAATATTCAGCAGGAGCTCAGCTAAAGATCACAAAAAGGAACGTTTTTCAGAAAAACAAACAAAAACCCACCATTCCTTAAGTGTCATCTTCACAACATGAGGATATTTTGTAAAAAACCTGAAGGAGATCACCAAGGTCTGCCTTCATTTATAAAGCAGTCCTTCAGCTAGACTAAGATGCACAGAGTCGAGCTGTCCTCTGCTCCAGCTGCAATGGAGCCATCTTACATACTGAACAGACTCAAGGCATTGTACATAACTCTGTAGGATTCATAATACCAGTGAAAAACAGCCACACCAGGAGATGGCCAGTCCTGCTACTATGAGATTTCAGATTTCATTTCTTTTATAATAACCAAGTACTGAATCAGCAATTTTCAAAAATTAAAACAGACACTGAATATCTATTAGAAGAGTCACTTAGAGGATTTAATTCTTTTCATGCCCGCAGTTGGATTTCTGCCAAAGCATCTGCTGCCATCAACATGCATATCGAACAACACCAGCACGAGGATTATTTCTCCTAATCAGTTTCTCTCTATGCCAGTGAGCCACTCCTTTTACTCCTTGAAACAGATATACAACATTTCAAGTCTCGTAAAGGTTTTGCAGTATTCAAAGCAACTTGACAAAGATGGTTCAACTTTTCCCAGAAAAGATTGCTGTTTACTTATTTTACAGGACGGAGCTTGGAGTACCCCTTCAGTTCTGTCATGCAGTTCCAGAAGTGCAGGTGTAACTACGGTGAACCGTTGTCAGCAAATGAAGTCCAAAGCTGTGAGAAGTAGATGTAAATAAAAAAAAGACTCAACTCGGGAAACAATGCACTGAGATGTAGCCATGTCAGCTAAGGTTGCTACCAGCTGGATTTACTCCTCTGTACAAGGGCCATGGCTCCAAGTGGTCTTTGTTAGCCCTGCTTCTGCATGCCAGATTATTGCTGATCGCTGTGTAGGTGGCTCTCTCACCCTTGGCCAATCTTAGTGCAGGAGATTTAAAAGGCATGGTAGTCAGACCAAAATCCCTGCACTAAAGTAAATGGGTCTACAAAGAAAGTCCTTGTAATTTCTATTTGTTGAGTCCACTGCAGTTAAAATCTCAAACAAACCACTTGCTGAAAAAGTGGGTTTTGTTTGGTAGAAAAGGGTAGGCTACGATATGGCGATTGTCCCATTGAGATTTGCTTGATACATGGGTAGGGAAGAGCACACTTGCAAAAGGACAGGACATTTGTTCAGTTGCTTTTTTCTTCAGCCAGTGGTTAAGATACTCTGATCATCTGTGTCATTGCTTCTTCATTCGCTTGAGTTGGATCCTGTGGGAACAAGAGACATACAAGAACACTGATACCAGTCCCTCACAGCATAGCAAATTGACCTCTAGCAGTGGAGCTTGGAGGGCAGATACCCTCTTTGTCCAAAAAATCTCTCTCTCTCAGACTGACATTTTAGTCTTTTGGGATTGAAATATTTGGCCTTTGGACCTTGCTGTAGGTTACTGTTTGCACTTAGTACTGTGTAAAGGTAATGGACTGGCAGCCCCGCAAGCTTAAATTCTCTATCTGTTCACAGAACAGATACGTTAATTAAGAGCAACAAGTTTCCCGACACAATCCCACCAGTGCGCCTTGAGCAACCTAAACGGACTGTTGCTACATGTGGAGTATTACTTCTTTATCCTTTAGTCCTCTGTGTGAACACATCCACAAAATTCCACAGACATGTTTTATTGCTTCTTTTGGGGGTTTGTTTTTATTTAAAGCACAGGCAGTAGCTGTTTCTAAAGTTTTATGTGTTCTTGAATACCCAGGAAATCCTTCACTCCAGGTTGAGGGCATTTCTTGTGCTTGGAAGGCTAGTAAATTAGATATAGAACAACAAAGGTGAGGCTAGATTATAGCTTCTGACTAAACCTGCAACAGTTCCATGGGAACTGAGATCCTAATGTATAACCTTCAAACCTGCTTACAAGTTTCAGGTGGACAAGACTCGACAAGGCTATTTTTTCTAATCAAAAGGACGGCTTAAAGAGTAAAGGCAAAATCTGCCTGACTGGTAAATAACAACAACTGTCTTCACTATAGAAGAAAAAAATAGCTTTCCTAATGTTACCATATTCGAAGACAGAGTTCCAGATACATCTAGTATACAGAGAAGCTAAGTAATGTGATACCTTAAAACAGCTTGAGTTCCAAATACTGAAACTGGAAGCTTTTCTCCAAACCTAACATGTTGCTCAGTGAGGAAGACAAATGCCATAAACTAGCTGAATAAGCTAATAAAAGCAGCAAACAAAGTATTTCTGAGGTCTAACATGAGAGGTTTGCAAATGTCATTCATGCAAAGAACAATTCATGGAAACAAAGGTATTCCTTACCGACATGTGGGGACTATCCTTTTCCTTTGGAGAGAAGAAACGGCCACCTTCTCCCCGCTTCCTAGCCATTGCATGACGATGTCGGGATTCATGCAAGTATTTCTGCAACAAGAACAAAATATTTTGGGCTCAGTCCAGTATTTCTAGGTCTACACTACACAATAACATAATGAACAAATACGACCAGCCCCTGAACTCTGAAAAACACCAAGTTTGAGAACAGGGTGTATAATAAATACTGATTTACTACACAACAAAATAGATTCTCAACAATTAAAAGTATGGAGAAAATTGCCAACTGGATCCAAAGAAATGGCCTCTGTAAATAAAATCCTGAAGAGAGAAAGACATTAGTGGAACAGTCTTATGCATGTGTACAAGAAGAAGGGAAGGAAAAATATATTCTCTGAGCTAGCCTAAAATATTTTCTGTATCTTTCTCTACAATACCATCCCTTCCACAGCGTGCCTCACCCTTCTTTCTTTGGGGATTTTCCCTTCAGCTTCCAGCTTAGCTCGTGCCTGCCTTCTCTTCAAGATCCGGTGGTACTGCTTGGCATTTACATACAGGGGCTCCTCTTCAAGCATTTCTGCTCCAGGCAAAGGAATCCTCTGGATAGCTGGCACTGATCCAGCTCCTGGTACCATCTGTATAAAGAGAAATACACTTCATAGGCATATAGTTGAGAAAATAAGCTAGACACAAAACTACATGAAGTAGAACTTAAGTTTAAAATTGAAAGGGGACATTAACTGAAGAGCAACCATGCTTGTTCCAAATTAGCAGAACATCAAATTACACACTAGTCTGTGTAATTTACACTACACTACACTTGTAAACTAGTTATTTCAGAAAGAACTACATGTTGCCAATATCTAATATTTGGTTGTGTGTTTTTTTTTCTATGAACAGACAGTACTCAAAGCAAGTCACTGTTTCTTTCACAGTGTAATTTATATTACATACCCAGTCCTTTCATTGCTATTTTGGTGCCTGCTGTATTTGTTCAATTACCTGTGTGTATTATTCATAAGTGTTTGCTGCCACCTATTGGAAATGAAGAGCAAAACACAAAAGGGAGAGCATCTCACCATACATGTGGTAAGAAATTTGCAGGAAAAACTTTCTGCACCTGAAAAAATGGTCTAGGGGTTTTTTGAAGAGTAGAATAGTATGGCCTAGACTCTCCGAAGCCCCTTTAAATAACTTTGCTGAAAATATTCGTTCAGTTTCTGAATCTTCTTGAAGCTCCATAACAAGTAATAGAAGAGAAGCATACCCCATGTAATAAAGCATCTCACAAGTTAAACTTCTCAATTACCAACTTTAAACCCACAATATCAAATTCCACTGAGCAAATGGACTACACAACGTGATGTTAAAACAGATGTCAAAGCAGCGTTTGTAGACAACAAGGTATGATTTTACAGGCTAAATCTAAAAAGAAAAAGAACTAGGAAATTCAGTACGCACCATAACCATTCCACCCGAATTGACCACATTTCCAGCAACCGGTAGCGTCACAGTTACAGTTCCTTGCCCGCTGCTGGTTGTGTTGGTGTTGGCTCCCGTCTGGACAATCTGTGCTCCAGCCAAACTGGCTGCAGGGATGGTGATCATGCCTGTAACAGGGACTGTAACTTTAAGAAAAGAAAAAAAAACCAAAAAAAAAAACAAAAACACGCACACAGAAAGAATGAAGGGAACACAATTAGTCCCACTTCCATTTTTTACTCATTCATCCTTGGATAAAAGTTGCATGCACTTACAAGCCAACTGTTATCATCTGACCATACACCTTGGAAGCACACACCTTTTATTTTGGTTTGCACGCCACATTTGCAGTACTCCAGCCACAGATGAAAGAGCACTTTGCCTTAAATGCTTGGGTTCTCTAGTGACAAACTACCACAAACCCAGAGGTCATACCTTATACAAACATTGAACCACCACATGGAGAACTGAGTTTTGTCTCATAACCCCTTTACGAGTCTCCATGTCAAAAGACTTTTATCCTCTCTGAAAATTAATCTGTTTACAATTTTCTAATACCCAAACCTGCAGTAAAAACAAAAATCTTTTTACCTGCTTCAACTGCAGGCTGGAAACCTGCAGTTTTGTTGTTTAAACCTAACAAAAAAAATGTTAGCCACTTCTGAATTTACTAAAATGTAGGATAAAAAGAAAATAGTTGCATGTATTTCTTATTCCAAATGCTTGGCACCACAGATTATACCACATGGTGTTATCAGCAGGGATCCATAGTTGAATCCGTTTAAAAATCACCAGTTCTCTGATAAAAATCATAAATTCTCCGATTAAAACCCCAGGAATCCTCATTTTTCCAAGATTAAAATAAAATACCACTATATAAATAAATAGGTACCCGTTGAACACAATGTTTTATTGATATATTTACAATTTTAAAGCAGTTTGGAAGCCTACCAATGTTTCAATCACTAAAATAAAATAAATTCTAAATACCTATAAATTTTGGCGTTTGATTATGGGGTTTTTATCATGGAAAATAAGAGCTCCCCCAGCCCCTTTCGCTCACCAGGACATGGGTCCAGCTGCAACTATTGCCCCCTCTACTTTGTGGTGCTGAGCAATCCTGATATGTTGGTGCCCTGCCCATGCTAGGGACCCTCCCTCCTCGCTCAGAGCCACCTGGGCTCTGCCAGTGCCCCTCACTCCTCACCCAGGCAGGCCCCCCAGCCCTGCCAGAGGGCCCCCCCCCATCTGCCAGGGCTACAGGGCCAGTGACCCAATAGCAGCACCTAAGCCAAGGGCGGGCAATTATTTCAGGCGGAGGGCTGCTTACTGAGTTTTGGCAAGCTATTGAGGGCCACATGACAGGCAGCCGGGGCAGATAAATATTAATTTTCTAAATTTTTTTAGGGGCCCTGCGGGCCAGATAGAATGGCCTGACAGGCCACATCCGGCCCACAGGCCGCATTTTGCCCACCCCTGGTTTAAGCCCTGGCTGCCACGACTTGTAGATAGCAGCTGCTGCGGCAGCAGAGCCAAACGTGGAGCCCAGCTTCTCCGCCCCCAATGGGTGGCATGGTTGGAGCAGAGCCCATGGGTGGAGAGGCAGTTCTGGCTGCCCACTGTGGGCTCAGGGCTCCCTGCCCTGCGGCCCTCCCCGCAGGGCCACAGCAGCCAAGCGGACAGGACCTGATGCAGCAGGGCAGGGAGGTTCATGCCGCTGGTGGGAGCCTCACGCCGCCATGGTGAGGCACCCTCTGCCTGCCCAACTACAGCAGAGGTGCTGCCCCCACTGCTGTTGGGTAGGCAGGAGGTGCCTCACCATGGCGGCACAGGGCTCCCAGCAGCAGCACCGAGCTTCCCAGCCCTGCTCTGCCCTGGCTGCTGAGTTGTGAAGGTCCCCGGGAAGGGCCGCAGAGAAGGGAGCCTGAGCCCGCAGCGGGTAGTCCACCCCAGGTACAAATCTGGGGGGCACATACCCCTCATGCTCCCCCCACCTCTGGACAAGCTGCCTGTGGCTCCGTCCCACTCCCCACCTGGGCCCTGCAGCCACACATGGCTCCAGGCCCCAAGCCTCATGCACAACACCAGCCCAATTCCTCCCCGCCTTACCTGCATGGAGCTATGGGAGTTGCTCTCCAGGCTGTCTGACAGCTATATGCACGTGTACCTGCGCACATACATATAGCACCCCCTGCCTGACTGCCCTCCTCTTGCTCACCCCAGCCCCTTCCAGGCTAAAACTGCCAGCCTGCAAGGGGAAACCCACTTTTTTCTGTATTTTTCTCCTTAGATAAAAAGAGAAAATCCAGGTTTTACCATGTTTTTCCACGGCAAACAGAAAACCTGGATCCCTAGTTATCAGTAATACAGTGCATATCAAAAGACAATTCTTGCAGATGCCAACACTAATGACCTATAATATTAATACTAACAAAGGACTTGGAAGCAGACTAAGCATTAACTGGAAGCTTTCAGCGCCAGCCTATAAAAAGACTATCAAATGCACTGTGCTTTATATGCCAAAGCAAGCTCATACCTTGTTGAAGAATGGTGCCATCAGCATTAACTGGCTGATAGACAATGGTCTGGCCTTCTGCTGTCTGTGCCACCTGCTGCCCTTGAACTGCTATTTGCTGCTGGGTCTACATAGAACAAAGAAAAGGACAAATTTACAATCTGTAAGTACCCAAATGTTGCAATCCTTGTACCTATGGTGCCTGCAGAGGTAATACATATGTGGGTTTTATTAAAACCAGACAAACTAGGACTGAGTTTGTAAGGACTAATTTGAACTAGAAATTAGAAGATACAATATACTATCCCAAACCTACATTTAAGTAAGCCTGTTCTACAAAAGGAAAAAAAAAAGAGGAAATAGAATCACTTGACTAAATTTGCAAATGCATTAAAAATGTTTGTGGTCTTATTCTGTGATCACAGTACCAGCCACAGGTTTTTCAGATGTCTTTTCTCAAAGCCATCTCAGAATTTCAAAAATGCCAGCTCTGTACCCATTGTAGTACTTAACATTCTGGGAATATTTTTTTTTAAAGGATGCAACATTCACATTTCATGAAAAATGTGTTAAATGAACATTCAGCTGGAAAAGAATTAATTTAAGTCATAAGCACAAAAGGGCTTCACACACAAGTATGAGCAGAAATGATTACCAGCTTGAGAAGAAGGCAGTATTTCCATTTAACTTCAACTGCATTCTTTATGGTCTAAACATTTCCTTTCAAGGAATTTCCAAAACAACAACATGCCAATATAAGAAACAGCTGGTAAAACTTACAAGCAACAAGCCTAGACATTCTGTCCCAACAAAATAATTGGTAAAAACAAAATCCCATAAGAAATGGAGTTACAAAGGTTGTTGTTTTTTCTCTTGCCACATTACCTGGTAACCTTTACGCTTATAAAGCTATTTCTAACTTTTTCCCTTCCAATTCTCTTCAGAAAAAAAAAATCCTTTCCCGTTAGTGCAGTTACCTGCGTCTGGCCAGCAGTAACTGCAGTCTGTGGCTGCTGAATAATGATTTGCTGGGTCTGGCCCTGTTGACCCTGGACCTGCACCGCCTGCCCACCTTGAATCTGAATCTGACCTGGCTGGACCAACTGAATCTGTGGAAGAAGAGAGTCAGAAAATAATATTAACTAAACCTGTTATTTCTCCTCCCTTTGATCTCATCACCAACATTAAATCATCTTCTGACAACAATTTATGTCTGTCAAAGAATAAAGCCACCATTTCTCCTTTTCCCCAAGCATTTAAACTGGAGAAAGACGATTTAATTTACTCCTGTCCTGGACTTCATAGAAAGGGAGAGACTGCATACCAGTGTCACCCTGTCCCAGTTCAACACTGTTTACGAAATACAACAATCAGAGTGAACTGTTTACTGTTCTGAATACTAGGAATAATTCCTACCTAGATCACAGGGAGGAAGGGGCTGATATATTTATTTAGATGTTTGTGAATTATCATCAAGCATATAATAAAATATCCTGATATGCCCAGAATCGATTAGACTTCAACCTTGCAAGAGGACCTTCTCTCCCTTGGTATACTTCTCATATAAAAAAGTAGGATGAACCTGAATGTTTTCAGCCCTACTTGCTCAAAAACCCCAGGTGCACTCTTTCCTCAAATACACACGCCGCCCAAGGAATAACAACAATACTATACTATATAATGTTTTTCAAAAAAAAAAGAATAATGGAATGTTTTACAAGCAATCATTAGTCAACTCTCTCAACACAGCAAGTTAGTGGTGCGAACACGGAAAAAGCTATCAGCTTCATTCCCAAACCCCATGCTCTAACCACCAAGACTAGATGTACCCATTGAGATAAACACTTTATTCTTAAAAGAAAGAACTACTTAAGTTTTCCACCCTTTAATTCTGAAGAACTGTCACCTAAAAACCAAACACTGCTTTTTATAAAAATACTTCAACCTAATATGTTTTACAAAAAGCTAATCCTATTGCACCCCACAGTTATTTTCTCTTTGATGTAAGTGTTTAAATTCTCCCCCAGCCTTCATACCTTAGAAGCATTCAACTCAAAGCTAATCCGTAAGTGTTTTTCACGGATTTCCACATTTTTAAGGGGAAAAAAACCCAGCATGGACCATATTTTTGGCACAAACAGCCAAATTGCTCAATATGTTACAATCAAAAACTATAAAGAAAAGGCACTGGTTGTTTTTTAGTGGCTCATGTTTGTTAATTTTGCAGCAGCATCTCAAAAATAAACTGCCAATATAAAAGAAGTTTCATTTTTAATATGGAGCTCATACAAAGCTCACCGAGATAAATCTTCAGCTACTTTAGGCTATCATAGCACCAATCTTCAGAAGCGCTATGACTGTTTATATTAGTTGAAGATCTGGCCGCTCAGTTAATTCCTGTGAATTCTGTTTAATTCAGTATTCTGACCTGTTGCAATCCTTGTGTTCCAGAAACTGGGACTTGCATGATTGTCTGGCCCTGACCTCCAGGCACAGCCTGCACCATGATTGGCTGGCCAGTTGATGTGATCAGCTGACCTCCGCTTACTTGTACCATTAATGGCTGACCTTGGACCTAGAAAATGGGAGGAAAACAAACAAACAGAACAATGAAGGAGAATAAGGTAACACGCAGCACCAAACAAAAATGGCAAACATCAAGGCAAATGTTTACCTATTTTAAATGGAAGACCTATGGAAAAAGAAAATGGAGAAATAATCACTAAATTGCTCTTATGCACAACTTCTAATACTCAACACTTCTAAAACCATCTTCATCTTGTGCTGCTGGATTCCATATGTGGTTTTCTTTGTTAGGGCCCAACTAAAACTTCCAAGCCAGATGCAAAACAGCATGTAGAATAAGGCTAAACTCTGTTCATACACTAGTACAAATAGGGATTATTTCCATATACAGCTTGAGACTCCGAATAGCTCAATCTATAGTACATCAGCTGTTCTTATTAAGAAACCTAACAAAAAAAATTAGTAAAGGCTCAAACATCAAGCTACCCCAGTGGATAAGGTTTGTAGGATTCAATTCTCTCTCTAAGCAATTAGTCTCATAGCATCATAATTTCCTGATGTATGCTGCATACAATGTCCTTGGAGCATCTTCTGGCAACTACAGAGTGAAACTTATACCTTTAACAAGCACAACATATGGCTCAGACAAAAAAAAAGAAGAAAGAAAGTAGAGTGGATGAAAACCATTTTCTGGACCAGCAAGACCCTTGGTAAGATTGCTCTAAAAAGTGTACATGTTGGCCTGTAAAATTAGCTTCTGGAAAGGGGGCAGGAAAGAAAGGCAGCAAGGGGAAACTCCATTCAAACATGTCAATTTCTAACAGATACGTCAGTTTAAGAGATCATTGCAAACCAGACTTTGACGTCTTAAGCCTGAAGTGGGGCCAATGGACAACATGATTTCACTCCACTGCTTCTAATTCATTTGGAATTGGGGGGGGGGGGGAACCCCCCTA